TCTGACTCTCTGTTTGATATCCATCAAAATTTCGAATCTGCAAAAGAACTGTGGCTTTCTCTGAATCCAAGTACTGGATGAAGATGCTTCTAGCAAGAAGTTTCTTGTTAGTACCTTTATGGGTTACAAGATGATTGACTCCATGCCTGTTATGGAAAAATTGTTGGGTTTTATACAAACAATCCTATGTGTGCATGCAACCCTAGAGTTGGATCTATGTTTTCACTATTAGTTATACAACTTTATGATCACAAAAGAACCCTAGCATGCATCTACTATTTCGAATTGACATAGGAGAATATAATACATACCTTTTGTTGTTATGTAGTAATAAAAACTAGTCCTTGAATTTCCTTAGCTCTTGAAAGCAAGTACCACAAGTGTAGTACCTCTATGGCTCACAAACACACTTTGAGTGAGAGGATGAATATGAGAGAGAGGAGGAAAGGTACTAAACTCCAAAATTAGGCCCTAGTAGGGTTTTCCCCAGGGGTGATTGAATTCTAGTCCCTTAGGGTGCTATATATACTTGAGGCTAGCTAGGGTTTCAAGGTGGAAACCCTAATCCCTTAGCTTAGGGCTAGCAAGTCCATGGACTCCTTTCCTTAAGCCCTTGGACGAAAACTCCTAGATCCTTCTAGGATTTTTCGTTCAAGCCTTAATAAGGTGATCCAATAGCCCAAGTCTCAACTATCAAATATTTACAAAACAACCCCTGTACTTTTATTAATTCCTTTAATCCCGAAATTAATTCCTAATTAATTTCTGATTAAATACTAATTAATAATAAGATTCCAAATTATTATTTAATCATATATATAATAAATAAATCATATTAATGCCCTAATCAATCTCTCTCCTCAACTGTCACCTGTCTAGTCACCCGTGTGAAGGCAACCCAAAAGGACCATGCTCACAATCGGGTCAAGTACATACCAAATAGTTATGGACTTAGACACTTAGACATAATCCAACAGTCTCCCACTTGGATAAGTCTAATAACTATTCTGCGTATGACTTCTTCAAAACCTGATCAGCAATCGTAGCTTCCAAAAGCCGCTGTCAACTCTGATCTTATCAGATACGCGTGTCCTTTAGATAGGGATCATATATTCCTCCTTTCTACAAGATATCGTATAGACATGAGACATGGATTGAAATCATTCTCCAGTCTATGTGTCGTTTCCCGATTTCCAATTTATGACGACTGACTAATTGAACAAATCAAATCAGTCCTGGCCCGGCCGAGCACTTCTTTTGTCATCACTAAATCATCGAGGGGCCCACAGATATCGCTTTTATCCCACCTTGGGTAAAAGGAATGGATAAACTTTTGACTCAAATGCTTGCTTGCACCTACTAATCGAATCACACACAACAATAAGTTTTTATAACACCAAGTTACTGGTGTGTTTACTTATCATCAATGTGCAACCGACTGGCAAATAACAAACTCACACGTCTCCGGTTTCAAGAATATACAATGTTATCGTCTCACCAATCACTCGTGATAAAACCATGAAGTGATTCAAGTGAGCGTGGGTTTAATCCAATACTTTAATCTTATCAAAGCACTCATGAACTCTGCAGCAAACTTGTGTTTATGTCTAAACACTTTAGACAATCTACAGACAAATTCATGACAGTCTTCCTTCATACCTACTTCCAACGTATGACCGACTGTGGAGGTTCGAATAACCTAGTTATTCTGGAAGTCAAAACATGAAAAATGAAACGCAATAATAATATAATCCTATATGGTCCCAAAACGTTTTGAGCGTAAATAAAAACACTTTTATTTAAACACCATATTGATTACTCATATTCATTGCTTACTGTTTCAGAAAATCCACTTATTACTCGAATTATAACCACAATGTCCCATGCTCCAAGCAACACACTTTGGTTTTCCTATGGTCCATACTTTGTGAAATAGATCAATTGAAAACTTTTCCAATGAAACTCAATTCACAATCCCAATCCTTATTATTAGTATAAGAATACCAATTCTTGCCACTTTAGAATATGTCAGATTCTAACATTTTATGCAATGATTCTTTCGTAATGTCATAGCACAAAAGTCACCAAGACCCGGCTAATGAAATTAAGGTATTCTATCGGAAATTCTTACAAGACCATTCCATAGACGTGAAGTCTCACATTCAAAGTACATTCCTTTGAACATGCTTCTCGCATAAAAGTTTCTAATCTAGACATATTTCTTAATATCCAACTCCCATTAATGGAAACATTTCCATATTTGCCATATGACAACTCATTCTTAATAGAATCTTATCTATTCATAATAATGTCAATATAGTCCATCCAGTACTATACTTCCAACTACTCATAAGCGACAAATCGTCAGTGAACCTCAGATCGTCCTTTGATAGTTGTTTAATTATTTTAGTCAAAAACCGTTCTAGTCCCTTTTCCCTCTTAATGCCCTAGGCATTTGGAAATTTTAGAATGGTCAATATTATAGCATATGCAATCGATCCTATACCCGAAGCGTATTGGACATGATGCATAATGTCTCACATAAAGATATGATACTTCATCATCCTTCTACCATAATATTTTATGTGCCCTGTTCCCACAATTCGAACTATGAAGAGGATGCCGTAATCATAATCGAATTTTGAGAATGCACTATGTATCCTTGACTAAATTTATTAACATTTCTCGATCTAAGCTTTAGAATTTTGAAACGAAGTATAATATTCTCTCCCTTAATTATAGCAAAACAAATTTTCAACCCTTGCAACTTTGCAAAATGAATCTTTGTTTTCTATAATTAATATTGCTAACTTGCAATACTTACCATAATAATCATGCTCCCACTAACATGATGATTATTTCTTACCAGCATAACACTTATGCTCCCACTAGCTTTGACATGTATTCAGAAAACAATTGAACTTCTAGAAAACAAGCTTATTGAATTCCTTAAGTTCAGATTTTCTAATACCTAATGCTTTGATAAGCCTTTATCTAATTTTTTAAGCTCATACACCTTTGCCTTAGATAGCTCACATGTGGGTCTAAACAATTCAGAATTATGTTACTAATTCCCAATGTTCAGATCAAATGCCAAATCTCACAATTCGAACTATGAAAAGGGATGCCGTAATCATAATCGAATTTGAGAATACAATTTTCACAATTGCTATCTTCTTAAAATCTCTTCTTAGTGAAAGCATTTCCTCACAATCATTTTCATGAAGGAGGAAAACCTTATGACACTTAGATTTTATGATGTATGTGTTCCTATCCATCATGTAATTTGTCAAAACGAAAGTTTGCGACAAATCCAAAACCATATGGACTGAACTTGTTCAATCTTGATTTCTTGCCTCATGGTAACATGAATGCCCCCATGTCTTCCAAGCAACTCACCCCTTCATATCAATGTACTTTCCATTGATCAAGGTGCTTTGTCTTTATGCATTCAAATGAGAACTCATAGAAATCACACGCATAATTAAATCAATTGGAATGGCACAGAAAAGGAGTATGTCATCCACGATAGGCTTTAAACCTCAAGTCGTGTGCTAGTGATGATCAACTGGGTTTACTCTTGATTTGTTCTTGAAATTTTCAAGACCATTAAGACTCCCACTGACTCCTTGACATATAAGATTCTCTTGTCAAAGACCATTTCTTGACAAAACAATATTCAAGAGTTAGTGTAGCCTTTTGTCAAGTTTAACACTTCACACAATTGGTCCTGGTTGGTCTTTGTCTTATCCAAGACATCACAACTTACCAATTTCAAATGTGCAAGAATAAGAAAACTTTTCCAAATTCCACATTTGTCGAGTGTTATAAACCTACTTAAGACTTGTCACTCATGTCAGAATCTTGACTCTAAGACTTGATATTGGAACGAAGTATGATTGACTTCTTGATTTAACCATTTCTACAATTCTTGATTCCTCTTCTTAGACATGCAATTGCACTAAGACTCACTTCGAGGATCAATTGAGATATGGTTCTTAATCATTAAGACTTATCATAAAACACAATAAAATGTACTCTCCCTTCTTCTTAGAATAGAGAAACTTTTATCTTTCTGCCTACTTGATTCTTCTTATTCGTTCTGCTATTGATTGAAAACTCTTTCAATCAACTCAGAATTATACTTAATCTTATAAGTATAATCATATTTACTAACCTTTAGTAAATCATGACGAATATCTTTATCACTCTGTGGTGGACTTGATCAACGCACAACCTAGTGTACTCGATCTCCTGGTCCTTCTCTTGACACTTTGCCAAAGAATTAGTCTAATTTCCAAAATATGAAGTTTCTCATTCATCACGCAACCAAGTTGTATGATTCCAAGTTTCTGTCCAATTGAAACTTGGGTGATGAGAATCTTCCTTTATTTGGCAAATCCTCGACATTTCACAAATAACATAATCAAGAATCACATCCAATTCAACATTGCTAAAATTAGAAATACATAACATCCATTTTCACATATGCCTTGCAAGGATAAATAAATAGGACGAAACCAAAATTCATTTTATTGCGGAAAAACTTGTCCTTACAATGCAATTCAAATGAAAACTATGCTATTTCAATTTCTAAGCAATCTATTCTAACTCTAAAGTAGTAGTAGCTCAAAAATCCGATCTTTAGCAATGCGATCGAAATCCATTTCTTCACGATCAGATTCAGCTTACTTCTTCCCTTAAGCTTCCTCTCTTTTCTTCGATCCTACAAAACATCAAAATGTAATCTTATCACATCATGTATTGAAAATCAAAGAATAGGAACTTATAGAGTTAGTTATTGGATTTTACCTGAAGTAGAGCCATACGTCTTGACTCTCCCATCTCTTAGAT